GTGGTTAATCACTTAGTTCAATAATACACAACTTGCAAAAATATCATCATATAAACCCTTTGACGAAGTCAATCGCCCATCTCCTAAAATGGCGGTAAGCCAGGTCCTATCTCGATGGTCAGGTTGTTTATAGAGTCAGTTTAAGGTCGGATCATTTTTTCCCTATATATAAACCGTATCAACAATTGTTAGTGATATAAAAAATTTCATTACCAATACATTGGACCTGTTTGTAAATTTTTAAAAAATTAGGTATTATAATCCAAGGTAAAAATATAAAGGTACTTAAACGTGGTTTCACTACCAAAATTTCTTGATTTTTTTGTTAATTGTACCAAATTGCAAGGAAGAATAGGTTTGGGTACCGCAATGTAATTTTCAGAAAACAGTGTGTCACGTTGGATGTTTGACCATGAAGAACCGGTTTTTTTTAGGTTAGTAACAGGACCAACGTCGGTTGGGTTTGACCCGGTTTCACCCCTATCCCGCATGTATATGGTAATCCTTTGAATTTGTTCGTTTTTTTTTATTGAATCTTTTTCTTATTGTATAGATTTTACTGTGGGTCCGCGAGGGCTAGCTATTTGGTCCAGGCTTTTTGGGTTTACCCGAAATCAGACCATATAACCTGGACCGTGACCGGATAGCAAATAATTCAATCCCATCTTCAAGCTTAGATTTGAGGTAAAAAAACCGTTTGAGATCGGATCGAAAATCGGATAAAGACCGCACAAGAGAGCCCAACAGCCAAAACTTAACCAACTCCTCACCTTTTGAGGTCTCAGGCCACTCGAATTTCCACAAACTCAATCTAAAATCAAGAGCGAATTGGGACCGGACCGGATCAAGATCGAACTGTATCCAATCCAACCTTTGGTCCTTATATTCCCAAAAAGACCGGACCGGGACCGGATCAATTCGGGCCAATTTAACAGGACCGGACCGCATAGCCACCCCTAGTTCCGCGGATTGCCAACTGGGTTGTTGATATAGTGGCACTTAAAGTCCTGTTGTTGTCTCGGTTAGAGTTAGCTTATTTTTGATTTTGTAGAGTGAATTGTTAGTTGGTTGGGGAGGGATTGTGGATAGTGGTTCTTTCTAACTATTGTCTTGACATTACTTAAAAAAGAATATGGTGCATAGCCAAAATGCATGTATATTGGATGGTGCTTCATATCTGTCGTAGAAGAGAATGAGATACAGATGGCGAAGGGAAAACCCATGGCGCCGCTGGAAATTAATGTGATGCAGCAGTGCACGTAAGAGGAAGAACGTACGCTAAATCGTAGTACAGAGAATTATTTACTCCACGAACACCACTTTCATCGACGAGCGTTGATCGCCGCCATGGATGGATGGAGAGAGAGAGAGAGCGAGTTGAGGTGTGTGATGGGGAAGAAACGGTGAAGTTTGGTAGGTCATAATGAATGAATGAAGGAACTTGCTAGTCTTAATTGCGGCAAGGCGTTCGAGCGGTGATGATGGTTTCATACTTTCATCTTCTCGGCCTGGCTAGCTAGCTAGCTAGAGTTCTGTAATAAGATCTACGAAATACTTATATTAGGGACGGAGCCAGAATTTTGCGGTAGGAGGGGCCAACAAACTAATAGTAAAAAATAAATCATATGTAAAAGGAAATATCAGTTTCGAATCGTGCAGAAATTTATTATACAAGACAATATAAAACTGCATCCAACATAAACATTATGATATATCTTGTTCGGTGTATTTTATCACGGAATATATTGTTTATCGGAGTAGTAACTGAAACTTAGGATACGTTATAATGGTAGCAAAGGTTCACATATGGTAAAATTTCACTTTAAAGTTACATGACATTCACTTTAAAAAAAGATGAAATAAAGTTAAAATGAATTTAAAATGTTAAAATCACATGGAAAAAAATTATATTTCATTGAAAAATTACATGAAATTGAATTTAAAGTGTGAAATAAAGACAATTCCAAGAGTTAGCCAAATGATAATGCGGGATGATAACATGCACCACATCGAAGTTAGTCTAATGATAATGCGAGATGAAAAACATCCACCATATCAGAAGTTCGAATTTTTGGGCCAGCAACCGACAAGAAAAAAAGTAAAATAAAGAGAGAAAAATGGGCAACAAAAGTTAAAAACGAAGAAGACAAATAAAAGAATCAAACCTCATCCCTTCCTAAATAAGCATAATAGAAAACTCCTCCTCTATCCACTATGCTACGGAATTATAATTGCCACAAGTTACTCATATTTGATTTTATTCAATTCCAGAATTTGACCCCTCCTAACCCTAAGCTGCATAATATATAATCGAGAATTTTACGAACCTAAAATATACTGTTTGGATCAGAAGTTAGGATATGATACGAAAAGCAATGAGTGATTGAAAAGCAGTGTGTTGACTGACCCTAGGACCACGAAATGATGTTATAGTTGAGACTTGAGACAGCTTTGAAGGACAACTTTTTCAACCAATAGGTGTCCATTTGACCGTTTGACCAAGTTTGTGATTTTTGTCGCATTTGCATAATACTCACAGTCGTCTCTCAAGCTTCATGTATAACTCCCTTCCTCTTCATTACTAGCTTATAACCCGGCCCGTTGGCCGGAATGTTCATATTTGATTATTTGTATTTTTATGTTACATTTAAGTCTATCAGCCCGTTTAATTTTATTGACAATTCTTCGATCTAGATGATATATAAAAAAAGAATATATAGGTCGAACTTTTGGAGAAATAAGAATATAAAATATAAAAATGATTGATCTCATTTTTATAATGATAATTAAGCCCCAATTAAAATGCTATTGGTTAGTTGATTGTCAAGAAAGATAGAGTACAAAAGCTCATTGGAATTCCCACACGCCATAGTTAGTTTGAAACACAATTTTGAACCTCACAATCCTACATAAAGGGTTCAATGCACTCCTTAGGAACAATATGCCACTAATCAAAAAGAAATGGAGAGTTGTTGATTCAAGTCAACTATATACTAACAACTCAATTAAGAGGGGACCAATAAAACTTGAGAGCAAACGACAAAATTAGGGTTACCTTCAATATGCTAATAAACTCGATCGAAGTAATAAGGCACAAAATTAGACACTCCGTATCTATCAGTTCCAATAGGTTGAATAAAGAATCGACCTAGCTGCAAAAACCATAAACCTAAAGGTCAAATAGTCACCACTCTCTGCTGTAGAACCAAATTTTTATCTCAAGAGACATATGTTTCAATAAAAAATTCAATCTCTAATCCTCCTTCTACAACTCCATTTATTGAACTCCATTCTATTTGTCATGGATTGATATCGGAGTTGAAATCTTCTACTTGCCTAGCTTAAATCCCGAATAATAAAATCGTAGTGCCAAGAGATACCAAAAGATTAATTTCAAAGGTGGCCTTGTATTGAAAAGTGAAAGGGGCGTAAACTATTGCACGATAGAGGGAATTTCGGAGGAAGTTAAAAGAGATAAGAACAAAGATAAAAAAAGCACTAAATTTAAATTTAAATTGAAAATTTCAAGGATACAACACGCAGTAACATAATTAGTTTCTTCTATGGTAGCCAATTATCAATCTACCTTTAGCAAAAAAATTAAGGCGAGAGCAAAAAAATTTAAATTGAGAAAATTACATGAAACTCTAGCTACTATGAAAACTGAAGTATCAAGCACCATAAAAATATATACGGTAGACTTAGTGGGCTTGGTAATCATGATGGAAAATTCATCCAATTTTCAGAGTCTAACTTTGTGTATGCTTTGTACTAAAAAAGATACAACAAATTTGTTTAGTTTAATTTGTTGTGATTGTTGTCTTTGTTTTAAGAGACCCGGGTTTGAATTCTCATATTGATATTTTTATTGAGATAAATATTTAATTGTAAAGACAAAAATGTCCTTCCTACTTTCACTCTCGTTGCAGGAAATTTGAAATGGAGAAAAGTTCACAAAACTCTACCATATATTATTGGAGGATTTTCTTTTTGAGTACATATATGTTTTTTTTAATTATTACAACAAGGAATATATAAAAACGTTTTGATAATAATTAGTAAATGAAATGGTGGGGGTGTGTTAATAAATGGAAGAGAGGTGGAGTTGTTGCATGCACTATAGGCTCACTACCCAATTTCGTTACTAAATTTCACTTCTTCTTTTTTTAACAAATCTGTGTTTGCTGAAGTTGTCGACCAAGATGTCCATGCCAACTCACTCCATCTAGTAATTTACGAGTCCATATGCTATCGATGACTCTTTTGTAAACCGAACAATAGAACTCATCCAAAGCACGATGATAAACTATGGAATGTGGGATGAGTACAGAACTAAGTGCTAACTCGACAGCCAATTCGTTAGTTAAGGCTCAACTCGATCTGACCCTAAATTGTGTTGGTTGTTACCGTAAAATTGATGTGTAACCATATAACTTCTACGGGTAAATACTAACAGCAGCTCTCAACTATATGTCTCAGTTATATATGAGAGTATTTCCGGGCACAAAGACCTTGAAGCACCAAATTTTACAATATAACATTAACAAACATTGTGTGATCTTATGATCCTTGAAGAAGACGTATAACCATATACCACTTGTATGAATGAACCACGACGTCGATACAGCAACTTCTGCTTCCAAAGGCTACACATCCAGTCATCCACCACCTGCACTTACTTGGACACTGCTAAACTGGTCAATGATGAATCAATTCGACTACCCTCTTCCCCACGTACATAACATAAAGCTCATGCACACTTTCAATCTCAACCCTATCAAAGTCCTTGCCCAATTTTGAAGGCTGCCCCATCATCCAGCCATGTGCCTCCTCGCAACATTAGATCCAGCAGCTAACTTACCAGTCAGCAGATGTAATCCAAGTCAGTAGCTTTCGCTTATCTAAAGGGTTAGCCGAGAACGCTCTATTCACCGTGAGTCCGCAACCAACTTAGCCACGCGTCTTTAGCAGATGTCAGCATGCCGTAAGTACCAACTCTACTACTTTCTTCGCTCATCCTCGTACAGCTTGTTCCTCAAGTCCTTGAGTGCGTCCACCACTTCCGAGTCAAGGTTGTGCTTTAACAGTTTCCCCTGGAAAGAGGTCGGCCTGCATTTTTTGTTTCCAGACAAAATTGCAAAAAGAAAATGACACACATCATCCACTGTTCATTTAATAATAGCATCATCCATCTCTAGTTCAAATTTAGTCCATCGAACCTTTGCTCTTCAAGCATCCTTTCCACCTCCTTCTGAGACGCCTTAATCTGCAAACAACCCCCCCGGTACATCAACTCAATGCTAAACGTCTCACACTCTGTATTTGCATTTGGTTGGAGCTTTCCTTGTCAAGCAAGGTTCACTACTTACTCACCTCAGAGACCAAGGCTTTGCAACTCCAGACAAAGGCTCCCTGCAGCAATATTACCCAAAACTCACCTTCTTCATAATCAAGTCAACATCTGAAATAAATATAGGACTAAGACCACATATATATGTCTATCCATTCTGCCACTTCTTTATCTAGTGGTACTGTATTCCTTCCTGCAAACGCCGTCTCATCCAACAACTTGGTACTAGTATATTACTGATAAAAGCATCCAACGAATGCGTTGGAACTTTCATGCGAAATGAATGAGATGGTAGACATATACCTAAAATCTAGGCCAAGTTGGCAGATTTAACAAGATACGACTATCCCACCTGCAAAGCCAAAACTGTGTCCACCCCAGAAAACAGGGCATTTCCCTTTCAGAATTTCCAGAGGGCGCAAGTATGACAATGCAATAGAATGCCACGTAACGAGTTCAAGTTATGGCGTCAAGACCAAACCCCACATATACAATATTTCAATACTGCCTAAAAAAGATGTGGGCTCAAAAGCAAAGAACAGAAGCATAAGTCATTTGACAAACACTGAAAGCAAATCACCAAGAAAAAGAAAGAATGCATACTGCTCCATGTGCAGCATGTTGCTGACTATTGTCGGATGTCACAACCCACACTTTGGGGCAGCCATCTTCCCTCAAGGCCGTAACCTGGAATGGAGCACAAAAACACCTTAAGGTAAAGTTTATGCACCACCTTTGGGGTGTTCATTGACACTCATTAACCAAACACATGTATATAGTAGACCCAAAGAAGACAAATATGCCATAGTTATACATGTCCATTTGTTTGAGTAGGAACGGGAGGAAACAGAAGAAGGATACAATTTTCTAAGAATGTTAATTCAAAATATGATGGTTATACAATTTGATCCCACTTACATATGATAGTGAAGAAATATCTGATTCACATAGCAAAATCAAAATCAACGTTGCGATTTCTATTAGATTACTTGGCTTAATCCGAAAAATGAAAACAAAGAATATAATAAGAGAAGGATAAATTTACCTCCTTTTCGATCCACGAGTCAGCACATGTTTCACCTGAGTATATTATATCAACACTGCAACATGGTGAATCCTTCAAGTCATGACCCTAATCTTATCAACACATAAAAACCATTCTACACTGAAAATATTACAAAGAGCGAATAACATGAATCAACCAATGCTTCATTATAGAAGGTACGAAATCCAACTTCATCCCTAAATCTACCAAAACATGAGGTCTGAACATTGACAAAAGGTGACAGTAAATAAAGGGGATCAGCAAGTATTTGTCCACACACTGCCACAGAGGACCTAACGTATGAAAATGAAACAGAAATGTAAGAGATTCTCTTTTAAAGTACCATGCAAAAGTTTCTTTGTGCGTAGGCAGTCCAGACATCATCGCATCAAAGACAACTACCACTTTCACCTCTGTAATTGTTGACAAAATAACATAAAGTGTAAAGGAATCAATAAATAATAAACAGAATCAGGAAGCTGAAAGAGTCTGTAAGCACCAGAACTGAGGGAAACTTACTAAATTACATCTTATCCAATTAAGAACATAAGCATTACAAAGGAAAATATCATTTCTTAAGTGACAAAATTTGTAGAAACACGTTCATCATTCAGAAAGCTCTCTACTTTGCATTACAACCAAAGGACACCATCTGTGGTACACGGATGCATGTCTCCTAAGATTGTTTTGCAGCAGCTTATTTCAATCATCAACTTCCAATGGCGAACTAGCAACTTGAGAGGGCTGTTTAAGATGTTAGCCTATTTCCCCTGAGAATGTCTGTAGATTCCAAATTTTTTCACTCCAATCTATAGCAGTGGGAAAATTCTAAAATGTACGAACAAGCAAGCTACTATGCTGAGGCCTACAGCCATACTTTTGAGGAGATAAACTTCAACCCCCACATAAAAATGCGAAAAAGAGCAAAGCAGTAAAAACCTTTATGCACACTGAATGCTATAAGTTCGTCGACTAGCTTCTGGCGAGCAACGTCAAGCCTTCCGTTCATAAAGTGTTTTTTCAGCTTCATCCAGTAGCCACATACATTGTAGCCATCAACAAGCAAGACTGGGACAACAGTATCTGGAATGTGGTTTGTGCTGCAAAATGTGTCTGTCAGTTATGGCAAAAGAGAGGGCTTGTTAAACCCCATGTTCAAAATCAACACAGCCAAAATGATGGAAGGAAACGAGGGCAAAGAGAATCCAAGACAAGGAACCATTACTGATAGAGAGTGAAGGTTGGATCACGATAAATCTCCTGGGTATCTGGAGGCAGATCTTCCTTCTCCACCTTCTTCCTGCGGTAACTAGTAGCAGGCCTTGGAGCACTAGAGCTCCGCCTTTGAATTTCCTATTGAAGTTGGTAAGTTGGATTCATCAATGACCCAAAGAATCTCCCTTTCCAGTCCCATTCCATTTATTCAAAGCAGTATGAATCATCTACCTTCCAAATTTTAAGAAATTGCAAGTTCTGCTTCACATTTGATGTAATTCTGGGAGGTGGGTCGGTGGAACTCTGCGTTTGGAATGAACAGTGGAAGGGCAATTGAGGGTTTTGACTGAAAGCGAAGAATAATTGCCCAGTAAAGAGAGAAAAGGAAAACCTCGGAATCCGCAGGCTTCTTGCGTTTGGCCATGGCACGAATCATCTTGATTTCGCGGTTGCAGTAAGCGCGAGAAGACAAGGACGAAACAGCAGTAAGGGCAGCAGCAGAGCCATGGCGAAGAACTGGAATTGGGTAAGATAGAGCAATTTTCATGGACAAGAGCCAGCACCATCCACCCGCCAACCTCGCAATCTCCCGCCTGTACACACAACTCTTCTGTTTTTCAGCCACATGTACTTTTCGATAGTTCTGTATGCGAAGAACAAATAGACCAGCATATCCAATCCGGTTTGCAATAGAATTTCAACTCAATTGTTAATTCAGTAAAAGTGGGGTCAATCTTGTAGTCCCATTAAGTTAATAATTACGTTTAGGCTATGTCTATCTAAATTTAACTTTCGAAAAAAATATTCACGCATAATATTCGTACTTAAATATTTATAGATAAATTTAAAGAATTTATTGTGTGGTAATATGGAGATGATAATATTTACCAATTCAAATTTTATCTTCGGATGTAAGAAAATACCAATCATCTAAATACAAGTACTTAATTACTTATACACCATTGGTAAATTAACATGGAGATTATGCTATGATATTTTTAAAAAAATAGCTATTATTATAGTTATCATATTTTGGTTGATGTTACCAATTCTTAACTGTATTTGTACAATTGTTGGCACTATTTATATCTGTATGATGCTATTTTTTTTATAGTGAAATATGATTATACTATTCTAGGTGATATAAACTTACAAAAAAATTTTGTTATGTAATAATTTGTGTTATGACTTATGAATTAGTCATTACTCATTAATGGAGTGATTTAGATCCGAATTTGGGCAGGATTGAGTTGCCGTGGATTAATTATATAATTTATATGATGATTATAACCAACAAACACACACGCCGCCGGCGTGATTGAGTCGCCGTCGCCAAAAGGGGCCGTACACATCGACAAGAGTCCAACGCCCCGATTTTCAGCATCACATTTCAGTTTCTGCTCCAAAAACAAAAGGGTATAAATATAATACATTATCCGGCGGAAGAGAACAGTTCGACTTTCTCCGACGACTCTACTGACCAAATATTATAGGTAAACCAATAGTCGGCGGCGATGAGTCCCGAAACCAACAACAACCACAAAGAGTCGCCGGTTTGCGTGACGGGAGCCAACGGACTCATCGGCTCGTGGGTGGTCCAAACCTTACTTGAATTCGGGTACAACCGACCCAGACTGTGATCTTCTCCTCCCTGCCGTCCATAGCACCCTCAACGCCCTTCAAGCCGCCGTCGATTCAAACCTATTCCGCGTCTTCCTCAATGCCTCCGTCTCCACCTTGGTTGAAAACCCTAATTGGCCCTCCGGCCATGGATTTGACGAGTCCTCCTGAACCGATCTCGACCCACTGCAAGTCTCGAAAGGTCAACCTGATCTTCAATTCAATCTTTCGAATCCATGGCTAAGTTCAATAATTATACCAATTGAGTTTTTTCTATTGGTTTGCAGAAATGGTATCCGGTGTCGAAGACGCTGGCGGAGAGAACTGCGTGGGGAGTTTGCGGAGAAGAAAGGGATCGATTTGGTGGCGATCCATCCGGGCGACGTGCTTGGGGCCACCGTTGCAACCGGGATCGAATGCAAGCTTTGCTCTGTCATGCTGCTTCTGGTAGGTACCAATTTCGAGACTTTGCTGACAGGGTTTCCAAACTCTTCCCTGAATTCCCTGTTTACAGGTTTACTTTTTCTCCCTGCTTTCCTTTTCCCTCTCCATTTTTTAGTGATTCTTTGCTCAAAAGCTAAGAGAAGAATCGTAATCATGATGGTATTGTTGCCCCGCCAAACATTATCGTGTAGCTATTCGAATCTGGTTTGCTTTTTCTGCAATGTGTGGATCCATTTTGCATAATCACATTGCTGCCCATCGAAGCTTCTATTTCTACATTCTTTCCCTTGTTTTATTACTGTGGTAAAAGTCAGTATTCATTAGAAGTTTCCCTGCATTATAAAATCAATGCATAATTGCTCTTCAGTCAGTGACTGCATTTTCTCCTTCATCGCCAAATCATTTTGCAATTGGTAATATTGTCGCGATGCTTGCTTACTCTTTGTTGTCGTTAAGTGGTCCAATCCAATTCCTGCTCTGGGGATTATTGGTTTTGTCCTTGGGATGCGCATTGCAAGTTGGGATCTTATTTATTTGTGACCTTGTGAGGTGGCAATGGTGTTTGATCCTCCTGCGGCAGGACAAAACGTTGGTTGGTAAGTGAGAGCTGAATCCAAATGGGGAACAGGACAGCCTGGAGTAAAGAAAGCCACAGTTTTAATTATTCGATGATAATGCAGATGCCAAAAACTAAGTACACTTCTGATCAACTGCAACAGCTTGTTAACGGCTGTATTCATTGAAACAACCCTGGATTGGTCATCGTTTGATCACCACGTTTGACCGTGCTTACTTGGCACGAATTTTCATGTCCCAGATTCACTGAAGAGACCCAGCCTGGTCTGGTTGTTTTTTTATGGTGCTGCTAAGGAACTGGTTAATCTGGGACTGAAGTTCGCCCCTGTGGAAGATGCTGTTCGAGAAACTGTCGAAAGTCTGAGAGCTAGAGGCTTGGTTGCTGAGCCACCTCAGGCTTAGTCTAGTTTAGGTTAGTTAAGTTTCAGCTAATATACATCATCGACAGTCTTGAATAGATGATGAAATGTTAATTCTTTTTACTTTCCATGGAAGATGATGGATGATCTATTTGAGAAAGTAGAATGAAAACCCTTTTTTTAATCTAAACGTTATTATTATATGCTCATAATTTCTCTGAATGTTGGCAAAAGTAGCTTAGGAGTTTGTTCTGTCCCCCCACCTCATGGTATCATGAGATAGAAAAAGATGGTATGAATGGTACCCACACCTTTATTAAATTACCCTTTTACTTTGCCACTTGAAAGGGTGAAATGAAATGGATGAAGAAAGGCTTTACTAACTTGCTCTCTCTGGTATTAACTCATTTTTCAGAGGCGAAGGAGAGTGGGAGCTATTCATTAACTCGATGGCGATGTTGATGGAGGAAAGAAAAGACCTCCCTAAGATGGACCAGATGCAGGTTAGTCCAAAATGTTAGCTAGCTGAGCTGTGGGTTTGTAATTGTTAGTAGAACTCTCACGTGATGATGGGAACTGGACTGGAGAGCTTTTAGGAAAATGAGTGGGGTCGTTGTCACCCTTAAAACCAAACAATGTAACCTGCACAGCTTAAGTTGAACTCATTTAGAGCCACAACCCTCTACTGCTTGCCTTTTGTTTAATCTGGTTCAGCACTTATGAAACTCTCCTTTCCCTACTCAATCCCTGCTTATAAAAAAAGAGGTTAAAGGAAGTAAAGCAAGGACGAGAAGAAGGCTTAAAAACACTCCATGTGGGTCTGCTGATTCCCTTCGATGCTATCCTTTTATCTTCACTTACACACACAGCGTGCAGTTTAATCATGGAGAGTGCCTGGCAGGTCCATGTGGCTTCCAATGACTTCGCCCCACTTCCCATTATTATTCTGAACCTTTGATGATCCTCTTCTTCTTCTTATTCTCTCTATCTCTCTCCTGCTGGGTATAAAGTATTACAGACTGAGAGTACTATACCATGAGCACTTGTCCATCTTGGGTTTAAGTTAACTTTTCTTCTGCAGCGAAGTAGCGATGGTGTTGATGGATAGTCCGACGATTCCCCGAGCATGTAGAAGGTCTTGGTCCATCAGCGAAGAGTCGTTGAGGAGATACGTGCATTTCGCGAGCGAGAGCTGCATACAGGAATTGCTATCAGCCTCCTCATCCAGCTCAGACCTCCCCAGCAACAGCGGTGAAGAAGAGTGGAAGATTGTCAGCACTCTGCAGAACATTAATGGAGGAGCCGAGATCTCCAAACGCAGGGGTGCTGGTGGGTCGTCTTTTCCTGCTTTCCGCAACCGCTGTCTCCTGAAATCAGTCTCCCCTCAACAGTTCATCTCTGTAGCCAATGCTATTGATGCTGCCAGGGTAACGTACTCTAACCTTATTAGCTCCCCTCTCTTCCAATCATCAACTGCAAAAGTCTGTTGGTTAAGATTCTAGAAAAAGTAGAATTGAGATATTTTTCAAGTAATGAAAAAGAAGTGATGTTAGATTGTTCAACGTTGAAGAAGTCATGGATTTCGTGAAATGACTATTACGGATTTAACTTAAAAGCATGGATTTTCTTTACAATGGACATTGTTGAAAATGAAATGCAGCTTTTAACTCAGTTACTTTCTAGCGCATGAACTTATAGAAGATGAATTTGTGCCTATTCATGTAGCAATGGGATACGGATCTGGTGGAAGCAAGGTACATAAAGGACATGGACGACAATCTGAGCATAGTCCAGTTGAGGTACGGCGAGAAGTCGAAGCAGCCCTTGTTCCGGAACAGGGAGTTCGTGGTGTACGAAAGGAGGGAAACCATGGAAGACGGGACACTTGTAGTGGCAATCGCGTCGCTCCCCAAGGAGATGGCCGAAGGTTTGCCAGGAGATCATCGTCACAACTACCACAACAGCAGGGCGAAGAAGAAGATGAAGAGCAACGCGATCAGAGGGCTGGTGCTGCACTCGGGCTGGGTGGTGGAGAAGCTTCAGCACGACTCGTCCTGCTGCATGGTCACGTACGTCGTCCAGCTCGATCCAGGCGGTGCTGGATGGCTCCCCAAGTGCTTCGTCAACCGGCTCAACACCAAGCTGGTCATGGTCATCGACAAGCTACGCTTCATCGCCCAGTCGCTTCCTCAAATTTCCCACTCGCTGTTGCCGGATCACCATCATCATGAACAGGAATGACGTATAATCTTGTCCTAGATCGATCGAATCGAACTGCCTTGTGTGGGTTCCTTTTAGCAATATACATAAGCTGTTAAGTTGCAGCTGGTTACAGGATGATAATCAAGTACCCCTTTTTTCAGTAACTTGGAGATATGTCGTGATTGGCTGCAGTCGTTATCAGGACAGCAGAGGCCACAGGGACATTGATTAAGATCATCCAGTGCTAGTGAGTAACCAGCTCATCAAATGACCAGCCACCAACCAATTTGCAAGTGCATGGAAATGGAATGGAAGAGACTGTAAAACTTGTGGCCCAGTTTCCCACTGTTGCTTGGATTTGATGGCACCACTCAACCGAATATTTTCTCCCATTCTGGGTATCTTGTTCCCCAATCAACATCCAATTGAATGATTCCTTGGCCACTGTCTCTTCTGAGTTCTGGCCTTGGTGTCTCTCCAGGACGGCTCAATTTCATTTTCATCAGAACACAAGCCCAACTCTTAGGGCTAAGCCCAAATTAGAGCGGCGAAATCAAATTGGACAAAGGCCCCAGGCCCCAAGCCCCCAACCCACCAGATCTGTAAACATGGCCGTTAATCATCCGATGGGAACTTTGATTGATCATTGCTTTACAAGTTGTAGCAACCCCAGTTTACCGTCCATTGTACACTCAGATTAAGTGTAGCCAGGATTTGTCGATGGTTTTGGTCCATTTATGAAAAAATACATACGATGAAAAAAAATTATTAGTTTTTTAAATCATTCATGGTATAATTTTGTATTTACAAAACTTGGTAAATTAAATATGTGTCGAAACTATCAATATATTACTTTATATGTGTCAAACAATCATTCGTGATTTAGTTAGAAAATTGCTTTCTAATGTTGCTCTTTGTCAAAACCGTTTAGTATCAATAACTCCAGTTGTTGAGAAAGATTTAAAAATAGATCTTATACTATGTAGTATTTCACAAATCCAAATATCATGTGCTTAACAAATGGGGCCCTTCAAGATTTGAACACATGATCTCTCGGCCAACCATTCTCCATAAAAAAATGTCCTAAATTTCGTTCCCAATTAATTATTATACTAATTTACTCATTTTCGTCCTTAGTAGCCACCTGTTAGGCCGTTACACTCTCCCTACTCCTGATTGAAATAAAATTAGCTATAATTTGCATGGATCATATGCACCATTGTCATTTGTACATAGCTCGTTATAAAAAATTGAATATATCAATACACAACTTAGAAATCATACATCAAGTATTTTAAGATCAATCATTCTCATTTAAATACATATTATTTTTCATACCCGATTAACTATTATACGTAATTTATCATTTTTCCTCCCGATCCAGCAGGGACCCACCCTCTAACCCTTTCCCTCCGCCACTGCTCAGATTGATTGGTGGTAATTAAAGTGTCATCGGTGTTTGAGAAAATACTTTATCCTTTAAACTCAAATTATTTACTTTTATTATTTATATCGATAACAATTGGGGAGCTCAAAAAAGCAATGTAATACCCGTCGTTCACCTTTACGATTTTTATGGGTTCCTAGTATTGAGGTATGAAATATTTTTAATTAATTACAATAGATTTTTTATTTCGAGTGCGTACGTAGATGATTTGTTTGTTCAATTTGTGTAGTGGATTCATTATCAATCCCAACTTATTTTTTTCTTAAAGGGTGCTAAACTTTTTGGTCCATATTTATGAATCTAATGGACTTATAAATCTCATATCAATTCTTAGAATTTGACGGGAAGGACCAAAACTTTCGTGAGCTATTACTATCTTGTTCGCTTGATAATTCATTATTCCAGCTATACCCTTATTAGTTAATAATTCACTTTTTCCCATAAATCCATCTGTTTTTTCAAAGGGAGAAGAAAAGCAGAATGCGTTTGTTTTAGTTGGGCTTAATTGCAAGTTTGGTCACCCGAATTGCTTAAAAATTTCACGTTTGCCACCCGAATTGATTTATTCCATTTATAGTCACTCGAATTAGTTGAACAGTCCAAGTTCGGTCACTCTCCGTTAACCTCCGTTAGACTCCGTTAATGACGACCGTTAAGTGATGACGTGGCTAACAGAAAGACACAGTCGGCCCATTTAAACATTAAAAAACGACGACCCGACCCGCCAGCTCAGCCTTACCCGCCCAGTCAGCCATTCTTGCCCAAACCCGCGAACCAACCCAATTAATTGACCCTAAACCCAACCCCACACGAGAAACAACACATACTTCGGAAAAATTCATTTCAGAGCTTCTTCCACTCTCCATCCGTTCATCTCCCAAACCCTAACAAATTCTCAATCTCTCTAGATATCCCGCTGCCGAGATCTCAAATCCGGCGAGATTTCCCGATCAATGTGACACCGCCCTCATTAGTACTCATTCAAATCTCCACCCGGATCTCATTTTTGTTCTCTCTTGCATGAGCATTTGGAAATTAAAAAATGGCTTCAGCTTGCGTCAACAACATCAGCGTTTCACCGGAGAGCTTCCCGCCGCCGGGGACGTACTCCTCTTACGGCTGGCTGAGTCCTCGCATCTCATTCAGCCGCAAGGATGATTCCTCGTCCAAACACCACCACCAAAAACAGCCGCCGCCGCCATCCAAGCCAGCTCCGGCTATTTCTCCTCCTCCTCCGCCTCCGATGGCTGCGATTCCGCAACCGGAGCAGCAGCAACAAGATCTCCTACCGGACTTCGAGTTCCGCCTCGACGACCCCGTCGCCATGCTCCCCGCCGACGAGCTCTTCTCCGAGGGGAAGCTGGTGCCGATGCAGGTCACGAGCTCGAAGCCTTGGTTGTCGACGGCAACTTCGGCGGAGTTTTTGGCCGGAATCGCGACAACAGTGGAGGCGAAATCTGGCCGGTGGAAAGAGATTCTGGGGCTGAGGAAGTTTTATCAGAACAACAGCTCCAAGGCGGCGTTGTTTCCTTCCTCGTCGTCTTCTTCCAACAATAACTAGAAATCATTGAGGCATTTCCTCCATAGAAGCTCGAAATCCTGCAACAGCTGCGACAATTCCTCTTCCAATTCCTCGCTCGATGGTACCCTGAGTCTTCCATTGCTGAAATCAGACCTGGACTGTGACTCGTCGGTTTCCCTCTCTTCATCCCGCTTATCGCTCTCATCCTCGTCATCCAGCCACGAGCACGAAGATCTCCCCAGACTCTCCCTCGATTCGGAGAAGCCCAATGCCGCTTCCAATTTGAGCCTGACATTCAACCCTTTGCAGAGTCCGAATCCGTTCGTTCTGAAATGAATTTTTCCACCATTGTTAGAGGTGAAGTAGTAGGGGGCTAGATTCAGGGGGGTTGGGTCTCGGGTTTGGGTTTAGGGTCAATTAGTTGGGTTGGTTCGCGGGTTTGGGCAAGAATGGCTGATTGGGCGGGTCGGGTCGTCATTTTTTAATGTTTAAATGTGCTGACTGTGTCTTTCTGTTAGCCACGTCATCACTTAACGGTCGTCATTAACGGAGTCTAACGGAGGTTAACGGAGAGTGACCGAACTTGGACCGTTCAACTAATTCGAGTGACTATAAATGGAATAAATCAATTCGGGTGGCAAACGTGAAATTTTTAAGCAATTCGGGTGACCAAACTTGCAATTAAGCCGTTTTAGTTGGTATGCACTCTATTTACTTTCATCCCTTACTCTCTATTTTCATGCTCGATTTATTAGGGATTTGCAAACAAAAATAAATCATGTGTTTATAGTCACTGCTAAGAATGCCCAAAGTAGGAACTAAAATAACTTATCCTTTAAAGCTAAAAATATATAATCCTAAAATTCAGGACCAAGGTTGTCAAACCGGTTTATGCCGGTGTGCCGGTTTTGTAAGTGGAATGGTCTGACCGTGGTACAACCAGTATTCATGCCGGTTGTGCCGGTTTTAATAAAATACATGAGGAAAATGGAAATCCTCAATTCCAAATAAATTAATCATGAAAAAGCAATTAGAAGAATTATTTCACACAAAATAATTTATAGCCAAGAATTGATAACGAATACTAAACAATTAGATGCTTAAAAACAAAATTTTATTAAATAAATTTTATTAATGTTTATAATGATTTGTGTAAAATTTAGTATTAGATATATAACATATAAGGTTAATATAGACAACAAAATTGCTTGTAGCCTATTGGTGTGTGAGTTAAACTTAAATGAACATGAGGTACTTGGTTCAAATCCTATGGAGGATGTTTATTTTTGGATATAATGTGTGTACCACTAAATTTCGGTTTCTGGTCTAACCGGCCGGAATTTCCGGATTTCACCGGGTCTGACCGGTATTGACCGGATTTGACCACAGTTAAAAACCAGCCCCTTTCCAGCCGGTTTGCTGACCGGTACCGGTTGAACCCGGTTGAACCGGCCGGCATGAAACCGGTTTGACAACCATGTTCAGGACCAAATCCAACAAGCAAACATCACATTTTTAAATGGATGATAAATCAAATCTATCACAAATTTAAGTTTTTTCAAAATCCTCATTTTCTAAGTCCAACAAACAATCCATTATAAAAAAATGTCCAACAAACAACCGATCTTCGTAGTGCTTGTGATTAAGAAAGAGACTTTTGACTAATAATTCGTAAACGGTGTCAATAATTGCTTACATATGGTGTAAGACTATTATAAACCTCAATTTACATGTACTTAAATGAACGAGAAACTTAATTCGTTCTCGTCACCATCATCCTGTTGATTGCAACTGAATTATCTTCAAACTTTTTGACCTATAAATGGAAATATCTGGCTCAAAGCTGACCCATCCCATGCATTTGATACCTTTATTAGTGGTAACTCAAAGGAAAGAAACCACTTTATCCATTTTCTTTGGCTAATAGTTGACCCTATAGATTAACAAGTCAACAAGAGCCTTACCTTCAGCCATGGCGCCATCAAGAAACAGAGCACACCATTTAACAATTAGGACGTTCTAACCTGTATTATTAATCAAACATAACATCATCATTCGTCAGTACTTTGTTTCGAACCAGCCGCCTAGTTCCGAACTCTTGACCTCCCACTCTCCCAGTCTCTCTGCATCATTTGCTGAATCAATTTGCAACTTGCAACTTCTCTAGTTTCTGTCACTTTATCAAAATCTGAGTTGCCAGAGCCCAGAAAGACCTTTACTTTACGTACCGTTGCACTGCTTGTTTCCCGGGAAATACACTACTATATCTTGATCTAGTTTTGGCCCAGATCCGGATTCAATGCCAGAACCAAGAAAGTCCAGTACTTTGCACATAAACAATTACCCACAGGTCAACTCCACGTTCAGATAGCTCCACTTTCCCATGATACCATGGCATGAACAGCAAATAAACAAAGCACAGAAAACTTGGGTGGAGTTGAGTATCTTGAACGCCCAAACCGGCGCCTCACATTCACCAAGGTTTCCCCTTCCCAATTTCATACTCCAAAACCCACATGCCCTGAAACTTTCGCTTTCCTTCCATTACCAGGAATCCAGGATTCCCGTTAAATTCTCTAGCCAGTAGACAGTCTTGCTCCCCTCTGCAATCACATTGCTTGTGATTAATATATATACAACCACTAGACTAGACTCCACATGCTCTCATAAGTCATATCATAACCACGGCTAGCTCTCTGTCAATGCAATAGTCAGAATGGGAGTTGGAGCAAGCGAAGATCACCGCCACGCCAGCTACCAGAAGAAGCAGAATGGAGGGCAATCTCAAACCAGATCCTCCAAGTTCAAGACCTTCATCCTCATCGTCCTGACGAACCTCTTCACCATCTACATCCTCACGGGCCCTTACTCTTTCGACCTCGAGGTCCCCTCTACGCGCCTCCAGTCCTTCACCAACTGGAACTCCACTTCTTCCACCCTCGCCGCCGAGCTCCACTCCACAAAGCAGCAGCTGGCCACGTCCCATTCGGTCATCACCGACCTGCTGCATCGCCTCAACTCCACCAACCTCCTCCTCCAGTCCCTCCTCATCGAGCTCAGCACCCGCAGGAGCACGAACAGTGAGGATGACAATGATGTACATCAATCCATCACCACGGCGAGGCAGCTGATTATGAACTTGCCTCGGGAGGTCCAGCTCGCGATGGGACCCCATAAGTTGCCTCTGGGGTTCCATCCGAGGACAGGATCCGACGAGATCCATCCTCCTGTGGGAGCAGGATGCCTGAACTACCCCAAGGAGCTGGAACAGTTCCTGACCTACGAGGTCGGGGGTGAGTGTCCTCTGGACGATGTTTTCGCCCAGAGGATGATGCTCAGAGGGTGCGAGCCTCTCCCTCGCAGGAGATGCCACCCTCCATCTCCTCGAAACTATGTCCACCCCACGCCTTTCCCGGAGTCTCTCTGGACCACACCTGCAGATACAAGCATCGTCTGGGAGCCATACACCTGCAAGAGCTACAAGTGCCTGGTGGATCGCAAGAAGTTCCCCGGTTTCTTCGACTGCAAGGATTGTTTCGACCTCGAGGGGAGGGAGAAGGTGAGGTGGATGGTCGACAGGGGAGGGCTCGATTTCGGGATGGATCAGGTACTTGCAACGAGGCCACGTGGCACGATCCGAATCGGGATGGACATTGGTGGAGGCAGTGGCACATTTGCTGCGAGAATGAGGGAGAGGAACATCACCATCATAACCAGTACCATGAACTTGGACGGTCCGTTCAACAGCTTCATCGCGTCGAGAGGGCTTATCTCGATCCATTTCAGCGTCTCTCAGAGGCTTCCATTTTTCGAGAACACGATGGATATTGTCCACTCCATGCACGTTCTCAGTAATTGGATCCCTGACGTGATGCTGGAGTTTACCCTGTATGATATCTACAGAGTGCTGAGGCCCGGCGGGTTGTTTTGGCTCGATCATTTCTTCTGCTTCGGGTCGCAACTCAATGGGACCTATATTCCTATGTTGGATCGGGTCGGGTTCAAGAAGCTCAGGTGGCATGCTGGGAAGAAGCTCGATAAGGGCGCTGATAAGAACGAGTGGTATTTCTCTGCCTTGCTGGAGAAACCCATGTCTTAGTTCCATCATCTCATCGTCCATATTATGCTTCCTCTTTTATCCTCTTCTGCTGCTGCTGTTTTCTATACCCCTTTGAGTAGAGACTTGACAGTTGTTTGTTATATTTGATCCTGCAAGGGAATATGATTCATACATGAATTTCTAATAATAACTCGAGCGATTGAACAAATCAATCACTTGGGTATCAAGTCATTGGTTCAGGAACCGGATTCTGCAGCTGCAACCACATAGGTAGGCCTATGAACAAATTAAATGATCACAAAAAGCAACATTAGACTTTGATGAAACCAAATCCTGCTTATTAAAACGAAAACCAATTAATCAAATCATGAAACCCACAAGACCCTCCTCTGTGATATCTACAAAAGTTCCCAAAAAAGGAGGAGCAATCTTCTAGTTGCTCAAAGGCTCGATTACAGTTTTGGTGCTATGCTCAATATCTTCTTGTTGCAGGGAAATAACAGCAAAGCTAGCACAACGAACATTGTAGCTACTACACATCAATGAATCATCAATTACCCATCCCATTCTTTGTTAACCAGAGGATAACAGTAAAGTTGTTATTCTTATTGGGGTTCTACCTTGGAAGGTGGGAAAGCCCCGCTATACTCAAACGACTCTTTGCTATAAGGATGTTGAGGGCTTCCTTTCTCTGCCTCCTCATAAAACCCTGAAGTATTGACGGAGTCTGCATTGGGGTTCAACCCGGCCTGCTGCAGTATGAACTCGATCTCCTTCACCACATCACCCATGGAAGGCCGCTCTGCTCCTGATTCATGCACACACGACAAGGCCAGGTCGACGAACTTATCAAGTCCTTTCAATGACTCGTTGCAGATAGCAGGATCGATCACGGTTTGCAAGTTGTACAAGCTCTTCGTCTTGTCCATTGCCATTTTAATCTCCCTCACAATGTACTTCCCCCTTTCAATGGGCCGCCTACCCGTTACTATCTCCAGCAATACGACTCCAAAGCTGTAAACATCGCTCTTTTCTGTGAGCTGCTGTGTCATGTAGTATTCAGGATCCAGATACCCCTGCAACACAGATTCGAAAAGAATTTCAAGTTTTTTGGTGATCGATATAAAGTCAGCAAGCAAACTGGATCGCCATGCTCATATAGTTTACCATGGTTCCTTTGACTTGAGTAGTAATGTGGTCCTTCTCACTGTCACTCATAGGTTTGGAGAGGCCAAAGTCTGCAACTTTAGCAATCAAGCGGTCATCGAGTAAAATGTTTGCAGATTTGATGTCTCTGTGAATGATGGGTGGATCCGCGAGCTCGTGGAGATAGGCTAGACCTCTAGCTGCACCGATTGCCACTTTCAGCCTTCGAGTCCATTCCATTGAGATCCCCGATTTGCCTGCATTCATTTGTTGCAAATAAAGCCAAAAATTTGGGTATGAAGCAGAGCAAAGGGAGAAAAACGGGTTTATCGATTGAAACCGACCTGAGAGAGCGTCACTGAGAGTGCCATTAGGAACATACTCGTAGATGAGCATCTGTTCACCTTGTTCAAAGCAAAACCCAACAAGGCTCACCACGTTCTTGTGATGAACTCTCGACAGCAGCTCGATCTCCGTCTTGAACTCCAGCCCTCCCTGCATCGATTCCCTCTGCGCCCGCTTTATGGCCAGCAACTGACCCGTGGGCAGCACCCCTCTGTACACCTGTGTTGAGTAAACCCTAAATATCAAACCAGCGGAAAGAAGACAGGCAGGAAAGGTGTTCGATGAAATGCCGCTGAGAATGTTCTTATTCTTACCTTCCCGTAGCCACCGGAACCGATGGCATTGGCGTCTGAGAAGCTGTTGGTGTACTTCTTGAGCTCGTCGAAGGAGAAGCATCGCGCTCCCTTCAGCTGCGGGAACCCGCCTGTGTTCTCAGTCGCGTCCCAGTGCGCTGCAAATTCCAAAAATCAAAGAACTGTTTAATCATCCCCAATAACCGGAAATCAGTAAATCACTGATCTTGATTCTTGGGTCGGTCTTGAATCGGTTTATTACCAAAAGGGTGGCTCTGTTCGGCTGCTTTCCGTGCTTTCTTCTTCTGCCCATATGCATAGACAGCAGCCAGGATCACCAGAAGGACCAGCACGGTCCCACCAACTGCAGCTCCAATTATCAGCCCAGTGCTCGCTGATTTCTTCGATCCAGATCCTCCTTCTGAGTCAAACCCATTTCGTCGTCACAAAAATGCGGGGAAGATAAAAACAAAAAACACCACGGAAAGGACTCATCTTTCATCTAATACGCAACGTACCATCAAAATGTGTATACTCATCGCCGAGGAAGAAGAAGGGCCCAAACATCCCCGGGGGCTTGAAGGTCTGGTTACTCAGGGCAAACGCAATTCGGGAAACTCCACTCCGATTGAAGTAATCTTGACCATAGGGGAACACCTTGAGGTCAATGTCGAGGTACTCGGACGAATCCTTTCTAGGATTGCTGAGCTGAACGGCATCCACAGGGAGCTGGTTGGACCTGAAACTATCCATTAGCGACTTCTGGAGAGCGGTGAAGATGGTGGCGTTGCCCAAATCGGAGAAGGAAGGCGCCCTGAATACAAGCAGTCCCGTGTATGCGAATGCGCATGCGCAGTTGGGGCTAGCGGTTTTGTTGGATGGACAATTTCCTGGCACGCAGTTGTTTGGAGGAGTCGTGTATTTGGAGCTTCGGTCTGGGGGGATGCAGTAGCTCGGCGTTGGTCCATTTGGTGTTTCATCGCAAACTGGGTTCCTCAACAATCTGAATAACCACATAGATAACACAATTTTTAGTCATGGCTTCAGGGTTTGATTAGGCCAGCCATGATTTTATCAGCACACTTACACTATTGCAACTTCATTGGCGCCTGGTCTTTGTCTGTAGTTGGAGATGAAGTTGGATTGCATGTCAACTAGTTGGAGTTGGCTGCTGTGACTCGGTCCAATATCTAGAGTGCCATTCAAATCGTTCCTCGCCAAGTTTCTGCCCGTTGGCAAGGTAAGGTAAACATTATTAGGAGGCCTACATATGTAGCATATATGAGATGGGGAAGCAATAACAAGCAGCTATGTGCTTACACGGTTTGTATATTGGGAAGGCTGAAGAGACCAGTAGGAACTGGCCCTTGTAGTTGTGTGTTCTCCAGCATTCTGCAAAACATCAACATGAACTGATAAATTCTGTGTTCATTCTATTGATTTGGATTGGTCATGGTTGTTAATTTTGTACTTACAGTGTAGTCAAGGACTCCATGGATGATAGCCATGAAGGAAAATTCGAGGAACTGAAGCTATTGTTGCTCAGATCCCTGCCAACAATAAACAAGAATTAGTAGTGGATTATGTGACTGCCCATTAGTACTCAAGTGAAAGAGGGTAAATGCTATGGTGCATTTTACTTACAGAGTGGTAATGACTCCCGTGCCAGTAAGGTTTGGAAAAGGACCATTCAGATTATTGTTGGATAAACTCCTGCATAAGTAAATAAAGGTAACATCTTGTTAACAGGATGAGGCAACATACTACCTTTTTGTTTCAGTTGGGGACCATTCAGTGTACTTACAATTCAGTGAGACTAGCTAGATTGTTGAAGCTGCGAGGGACAGTTCCAGTTAACGAGTTCCTATCCAACCGTCTGCAATCAGAAGGTACGTAAAAGAGAGGGTTACTAATGATTTCTGTACAGAATGCCAATGTGGAGTGGTTGATTGATCATGAGTTGAATAAGAGTGAAGATGGGATAACTTACAAAACCTCCAATGAGCTCACTTGTCCAAGAGTTGGGGGAATGTTGCCCGTGAGCTTGTTACCGTCAAATAGACTGCTCTCCCGGATGAAAAACGAAAGTTAGCTATTCTGTTGATTGGGTAGAACCCTGGAACCATTTAGTGATGAGCCTGATTAACTTACACGTGTAGGAGAGTCATGCTGGAGTTGAAAAGTTTAGTCGGGATGGAGCCTGTCAACTGGTTCTTCCCGAAATGACTGATGCAAACAAGTTCTTTATAATTAGAACCCAGATTCAAAGAATTGTGTGAAAGCTAAGTGGTAACAAACTCTCGAGGGAGAGAAAGAAAGAACTGTACAAGTGCTTAGTGTTGACTAAGAGATCGAGGCCAGGTGTGACCCCATCTGAGATTGGGATGCTGCCTTCGAGCTGGTTGTCTGCCAAATCAAGCCAATACAGGCTAGCAAGGTTGCCGATTGAAGGTGGAATTGTTCCGGTGAAGCCATTCGAGTTCAGAGATCTACATTCAGGTAAAGTAACTGCTTTACAACACCAAATAAGGTGAAAGCTTGAGCCTTTGAGCCAAGAAAGATAAGAGGGTAATGCATCCTTACAAAGTGTTTATCCGAGAAAGTGATCCTATAGAGTCTGGGATAGGACCAGAGAACCTACAACCAACCAGGATCCTGCCACAAAGATGTTTACATTGTGAGGGATCCAAATTTCAGATGGACGGTTGACCATGGTGCATGTATATGCAAAAGGGATCATTTATGGAGATAGAAACTTTACAAGTTGGTTAGCTTCCTCAGGTTCCCAATGGATTGCGGCAGATTCCCTCTCAACCCTTTGTTATATGAAAGATCCCTGTATTGTTGTTACAAACACATCAGTTATTGAATTCAGGATTCTGATTGAGAAGCAGAGTAAACAAGACATACAGGATCTGCAGTTCGGATAAGGAAGCAATGTCGCCAGACAGTTGACCTGACAATCCAGTGCTTGACAATGTTCTGCAGTTTTCAGGTTTTTTGTCAATTTCATCGATTGAAGATAACAGGAATAAAGAAGACAAAACCCAGTCATCTGCAGAAAGATAGAACACCATCAAATTTGACAACTTACATGGAGGTCACACGATTGCCATTACAGCCAATGCCGTCCCAATTGTCTCCACAAGGGTCACCACCAACCCAATTGGGAGGAGTATTTGACCAGACGTCCTTGAGCGAGTTCAGAACACTCACTGCATAGTATTTGTTTGGATCCATTGTTATTAGCTAAAGATTCCAACTTTTCCTCATCAACTGGGAGGAAAGAACACAGACACACACACACACACACAAGCATGACAGAGCAAGTAAGTAGCTTACAGTCACCGCCGTTAGTGGCCGCCTGAGTGATGGAAATCAGGGCGGCGAAGAAAGCAAGCAAAAGAAGCACCGAAATTCTGTGACCGGCAGTGATTGTAGCAGTAGAGCCCATATGGTGAAACTTGAATGTGTGAAGAATTTTTGCAGGTTAGCTTGAACTTGTTTAAGAAAGATTGAGGCTTGATCAAAAAAGAGAAGAAGGAGGGCCTATCATCGTCGTATCCTTCCTCAAGGAGAAGGACTGAGAAACCTAGCGAGGAACTTTGGTTGACACGCCCCAGAGAGAGAGAGAGAGATGGTTTGAAGAAGAAAGCTGGTATGATCAGCAATGGTGCATTGGCAGGAATTGTATTACCATGTCAAAGGGAGGGCTTAGTTTGAACAAGCCAACCTAAAAAAACCATTACTTTTTTTTTCCCTCTTTGTTTTGAACTAAATAAAAACAAATTGTAAAATACAGATGATATACAAGGAGCAATAATCCAACCAATACAGTAAATGAAGAGGCCACACGACGCACCAAATCTCTCAGTTTATCAGAGCAGGCCAGTCTGCTTCTTCACCTTCTTTGTCGTCACATACAGATTAACCTAAAGAAAACTGAATCGATTTCCACATTATTTAAACTTAAACGAGTAATATTTGGATCCTTCCATTCCAATCCCAACCCAAATGCCAACTTGTTTTTCACTTGCTACCGTTGAATAGTTCAACCAGCTACCGGCAGTTCTGTTTCCGCCTTAACCTTTCCATAGTCCCTTCCAATAATCCTAAAATAATCAAATACTAAGGTTAAGAACATGTCATTAGCTAATTATATCAATGCATGTTTGTAGCATTTTAGTAGTCACAAGTCACAACTGTCCTTTCTTTTTGTGACAAAGGTATTGTATCTATTGTGACGATCAGACTGATGGCATCATGTCAACTTGGTGTAGTGTAGGGCGATGGTGGGAGAGCTGAGCGAGGGGGACCAAGGAAGGTGTCAAGTGGTTGTGAGCACGCTGAAGGGGATGCTCGGGATATGTATATGGTCATACATCTTCATTATGGGATTGTAGTTCAATTAGTTCAGAGCACCGACTTATGAAGGAGGAAGCTGAGGGTTCGAGCCTCGTCTGAAAGTCTTACAGTGAAGCAGAGACAGACATCAAGCTTGCATCTCTGTCTTGTTGCTCATTGGCTCCCTCCCTGTAGCTTTAGCCTCTCGTTGTAATAGCCTGCTTCTCGAGGGCACCAGGTCGGCAAAATAGGTGAGGGGACTATCTATATACAACGTCTGGTAGATAGAACCACAAGTCATCGAGTTGGGTCGAGAGGTCAATGTATTTCTTGGCCTCTTCGAGCGAAAGAAGATAGTTTTGGGTGGGAGGAGTGTGAGATGTCATTTTGTAATCACACTAGGCACTGTCAGAGAGATATGTTTAAAATTATAATGTGTGCTTTGAGATGTCGATTTGTGATAGGATAATTCGACAATTTCAAGTGAGAAATTCATAAACTGTCGTATGTTTGATCGGCTTGAATAACTCTTGTTGTTACTCAAACTCGATGTCGCTACCTGAAATCTAGATCGTTGACATTATTGCTCCCCCCTGTCAAAATTTTGTTTTCCTCCTCTCTGTTGTACGAAAGAGTAGAATATTCTTTCTCTAACCTCATATTAGGCCTCCAACGTTGATTCCAAAACAAAAGATTCATCACAATGCACACTCCGTTGGTTCGTTCTTTCCATGTCGTTGCCTTTTCACTTTTTTCTTCTCCCTGAAAGATTAATGTAGCATAGTGATATCCAACAACTTGGAGGTAGCTATATTTAGGTGTTAGGAAATGGAAGAACGAATTTTGTAGTTATAAAACAATGTAGAACGACAGCTAGGTTGGCTGATGGTTGACTCCTAGCTACTGCTCCCCTAGAATTCTTGTTTTTTCTTCTATGAACCCTAATTGACGTCCTTAAATTTGGGGTGGACAACCTGGTCCGATTATTTAAAGGAACATTGTAGGGTGGAGGAACCTTTTTTAGTTTACAAAGCCATTAATTATATACTTTGTAACCAAGCTAGCTAGCTAGCTCTGATCTCTTCCCACTTCTCGGCCACTCCAGCAAGAATATAAACAAGAAGGAGTATTAATGATTCCACTCATTGCTTTTAGTTGAAAATGTTATACTAGCTAATTAATCCAATTAGTCAAATTGCTTTTATTGCGTTAATTCGGTCCGGTTTGGTGTTAAGTCGTCCATCATCGATTTAAAAAATTAACCAAAATGAAACTTAATTAACATAGTTAAATTTTTTTTTTCTCTCTCTCTGTGCAAGTAGTGCTGCAAAAGGTCTGGCATACCAAAAACCCTTTGAGGTAACATATATGGGAAACTGGCTAATTATTTGCGATTGTTTCTTTGAGATTGTTACTATACTTGTATTGTTTAGAATGCATCAAATTTTTTTTATTTTTTTAGCAGACAATACATGGATTGTTTCTGTGACGTGACATAAACTATCACTCAAAATAATTCATTGTTCTATCTCAATTTTTAGCTGAGATTGTTAAGATAATTGAGTTGATATTATTTTATCTCAGCTTTTAACTTATGTGACATACACAAATCACACATACCAAACACTGTATTTTACAATATGTCAAATTCAACAATACATATCTAATAGTACTATACATGCATTCATAATAATACATCTATTTAACAGTTACAACTTCCAAACGGACAAAATAGTGCAACCCTATGTTATATATGCATGATTGATGATTGTTTGCGGCTCAACCCCTTGGCCATGTGGTTAAAAAAAAATTGAAACTGATCATTCTGCACTTCTGTCATCCATCGTTATCGCTTCATATGATTGATCACAAAAAAAAAAAAAAAGATTAATCGTGATGCAAACTCCACTAATAAACCAAACAAGATCATAGAAAAAATATATATATATATATATATAATTTATATAGTTACGACAGAAACAATCCCATGAATCATGATCATCCGATGAGATTAACCTAGCTATAGTAATCAACAAAACCCCAAACCACAAACGTACATGGCGGTCTGAGTCTAAGCCTAGTGACGAATCTTCGCCGTATTATTGTGACTGCCGGCCGACGAATTTTGCATGGGTTATAATTTAATCGCCGACGGGGAAACCAAAGGCCCAAAACCAGTATTTGATTGGGCGGCGATTCGCCAGCTAGAGGCTGCCGGCCGTCCTCTTTCTTCGCCCGCTTCTCCTATATGTTGTTTGTCTTCATCCTTTTGTTGTTCTGCATAGTTTTTAAGTTCGATTTATTTTGAAATAAAAAAAAATTAAGTTGGACAAAAGAATTGCAACTTTGAACTAAAAATGTGCCACGTGCCTGGCCATCATACACAAGTTAGATACAAGGTGGGCGACTAACAGAGTTTTTGCAGATTATGTATATATATTTTATCTAGAAGAAATTATCGTTATTTTTCTTAAAATATTCAATCTTTATTATACGTCTGTAACATTTTCATCAAATTGGGTTCTTTCTAACTATTTTTCGTCCACACATTTGGTATAAAAAGAAAATCGTCCACATCAGTTGGGCCTCACAGTAATGAGCCCAAATGACATGAGCGTTGTAGTGACAGTGAGTAAGGACTACTAAATGACGCCAAATCAGAAGAGTTAAGTAAGTGGGCTCCGTTGACATATTCACATTCCAACTCAATTAGCAATCCTCTGTCTCAATCCGAACGCAAGGGTTCGGTGGGCTTATATCACAGATTAGCCCAATTAAATATATTGAGGGCCTATACAACTTTCAGGCCTGGACTGGAAGCACTGTTACCTTTCCCTCTCGGATCCCGAGTCCGACCCTACCAGGCTACCAATACCAAAGAGAAAGAAAGGAAGTAAAGGACTAATATAAGGACTTTGCAAAGTCCCAACTCTGGCGGAAAGCGAAAACGGATTTTGGATGGAAAATCCTCTATGGAGACGATGAGAGATAAGAATACAGAGAAGCTACCTGCAAGGAGAAACCAGAGAGCACAAAATGGCGGTACTTCTGGAGTCAACAGTTATTGGTTTTGGTGTGCTCTTCAATCTTCATCCCTCTGCCATTCATCTAATCTTTTCCTCCCGTAAGAATGAAGCAACTAAGCATATGCAGCGAGCTAGCCGCCGCCAGCGAAAGACGGAACCAAACCGCAAAACAAATATGCTTGCGTTCTTCAACTTCCGGAAGTCTTACCCAATATCTGAGGGCGCCGGCTACGAGTTCTGGTCGATGAAAGACGGTGGTGACTAGATCCGGCCGGACAAAGACCACGCTTCTAAACTCAACGAGGGACGGCGACTCTGATCTAACGATGCTTTGAGGTATGAAAGAAACACAGATTTAATCCCCTTTCTCACCAGCGGAGACGGTCACCCACCAACTATTCCTTCCTCTCTTGCTAGAGCTGTGGGCAACCTTCAGTTTCCCTATTCTCCTGAATCTGATTTTTGCATACATGTTTCCGAACACTGATTTGATTTTCTTTCTCTAACTTGATTGAGATGTATTATTATGTTGCTATCTATATGATCAGATCGCAGATCTATGAATTTGAGAGTTCGACTAGTCGAACATGTTATTCCCTTGAATTTGATATTTGCAGAGCAGGGCAAAATAGTATAAGGGAAAGGTTTCGGTACAAGGATTCCTATATCTGTCTTTTGGATCTGGAGCCTGGATTATTGGCAGCATCGGATCGGGTTACAACTCTCTAATATGAATGCCGAAAGGCTTGGATTTGGTTTCCTTTCTATTGGAACCTTTGGCATGCCTATGGCCGCCTAAATGAGAATAATTCTCAATCATCCCTTCGAATCTGTTTCACTTCTTGTTGTTTCTAGCCTATTTGGCATGTGAAGAAGCGCAACTGTGCACTAATTTTTTGTATCTCCGGCAAGAGCAATATCGCGACCTTTGCTTGATTACTTCGTCTCGGGCGCCTGCAGATCAATGATGTTGAAGATCAATGGCGCCTGAGACATATTCAGTGACAGATAAAAGATAGCATTTTACTTTCCCTTAACATGTGTTGGGGGAATTATTAGAGGAATAGATTAGAGCTTTCAATTCCCTCGTGACTGTCTGCTACACTCTGTAGTCTGCACCCTTTGTCTAGCCCATTGAATTTTCACATCACTGGTCTGGCCCCCAAGTCTTCCACTTTGGAAAGTTTACTATTGTTTATTGAAGGTATAGATTAGCCTTCAATTCCCTCGTGAGTTCCTGCTACTCTATGCTCCTACGAATTACAATCAATCTCCTTAAAATTACCAGTGCATCCCATTCCATTTCCCTCTTTGAATTCCATTAGAGCAATAATTATTTTCCTCGACCCTACACAGGCCTGGCTATTAAATGTAGTTTTCCATTCAATTTAATTCCCTCCTTATCATGTCCGGATAAGCCAGCTATGGGTATGGAGGCATGCTTCCCTGTAATATATATATATATAGTTACTAGCTTTTTACCCGGCCCGTTGGCCGGAGAGATTTATTTTATAATTTATATGTTTAAATCGTTTTGGATCTTCTAAATATTTTGTAACAGAGTTTGTAGTATATCTATATTGAAATTTCCAATATTAAGCACACTCACTTGTGATGCTTCGGTTTTCGAATCATAAATTATGTCGCTGTCACGTCCCATTTAGAACTTATGTCAAAATTTGTCAACCAAAACACTAATATTTAGCGTACACCAACCTAAACCACACACACATATATTCGTTCAAGCTAGCGTGCGCCGGGAGTACGTTATACTCTTGCGTTCATACTACCATACGACCATTGAGTTTTACTATTTAGACCCGAATTAACCGGATTTTTTTGGGGCATTATACTATATCCTAGCCTCTAATAGGTAAACTCTAGTCCCTAATTCTGTAACCTCTAATTTATGCACATACTTCGTAATACCTATCTTCTATCGTATCTTGAGTTAAATAAAAAGTATAGTATACCTTGATATTAGTATACGCCAGAGAACCATTGGGGTTGTCTATTGTTCGATATATAATATATATATAAAGAGGCAAATACTAAGATCCTACTACTTATTTCTTATCCTCTCTCGCTGACCTCTTTATGGAGAATAAAAAGGTAGGGATGATAGGATCATAGCTCGATATGGTTTTATTATGTTCATCTTATCGGAGGTTATGTTCTTTTTTGCTTTTTTGGCTTCTTTTTCATTCTACTTTAGCACCTATGGTTGTGATCAGAGGTACTTAGCCCTCGAAAGGGATTGGGATTTTAGGTCCTTTGGAAATCCAATACACATTCATGATCCTCGAGTTTGGACGAACTCTCGACCAATGTTGTAAAACTTACGACTTTTTAGTGAGAAATTCTTAGTAAAGATACTTCATTATTGGATTTATTCATCCATATTGAAACTTGACACACACTGTATCCCTCATGATGACTAAATTCTCTAATCTCGACTCATTTCCATTTTGGATGTTTGTTTTTTATCCAGACACTTAAATTTAGTATATTATATAATATGTATCAATTGTTAATTTTTGAAGTTTATAAAGATTTTATCGCTTATTTTTGGTCTTAACATGGTCGTTGAATGTGTAATTTTCAAATATTTTATCGCTTATATATTAATAATTAATAAAGAGTGTCTCCAATACACACATATTTTAAGTGCATTTAAAATGTCTTATCATTTGAACAATATCAGTGTATTTCATTTGATTATTTGCATTAACTTATTATCTTATACAACATATATTAATTCGTATTTCTCGAGTCTAGACGAACTGAAAACCAATTTTGAGAGTTGATATTATTGGATAAAAATACTTGCTTGCTGGATAAATATGTTTATCCCAATTGATGATCTTACTAAAAATTGCAAACCTTTATTTGGTAAATGCCTATGTTAGTAGTTGATGAAACGTGATGTTTATCGTAGATTCTGAACAAAGATTTTTCTAACCTTCACATCTATTATTTTTCAAGGAATCTTGTGTCTCATTCTAGGGTATGAAGTCAAAGTTCGTCAACAATCATACTTAAGTCATTTTGAAAATTTTGATTTATAATCGTCGAAGATAACTCCAAGTCTGAAAGAAAATTTCTTTGCATACGACTTAGAACCTCAATAGAGCTTGCTCAATCAACATGATATAGAGCAAATATTGTTAATGTGAACTTAGGTCACATTATCAAATTATTGCACATGCGATTCCTCTTCATTTGAGGAATTTAAGGTAGAACATGATCTGAATGAATAAGAATTTTTTAAATAAATAACTGTAACTACTCGATCAAGATTATACTCTGAGATTTTGCTAAATAATACTGTTTTATTTTATAGATATATATTGTAAGAATAAGAGAGTGTTTCATTGCAACAAAATATAAAGTAATATAGTTTATTTTTCAAAGGTAATTGAATGTCAAATGTTTATTTTCTCTCTTTTCATATATATTTTGGTTTAATCGATTAAAACATAATTGTTTATGTGTATGTTTGTTTATTTTTTCATCAAAATGTAATTTATCATTGAATTTTAGTAAAAATGAGTAGAAAATTTATTTCATAAGGTTTAATCATATATTTTTTATTTAAATAAATGTGATGTATGTCACTCTCTTTTTTCTTATTTGTATTTTGTTTATTTAAAAAATTATTATTTATGTGTGTTTGTTTAAGTTTATCAACATGTAACTTATTATTAAAGACAAAAAAGAATAAATGGATAAATGAAAAAGAATAATTGGATAAAAGAAATGGAAATATTAAAGAAGAGAGAGATAGCTCCATAAATATATTAATAACTAATTTTTTTTGTTTGTAAAAAAGTTGTCCAACTTGGCAAATTGTGCATCCTCCAAGTGCTTATGTGGCAAGAATTTTTTTTTGAATTGCCATAATATATAGTATAGATAGATAGATAGATAGAAGATAGATAGATAGATAGATAGATAGATTATAAGCCAACGAATGATGGAGTTGGATAATATCCTTAACACTTAGCTTTTGGACTTCAACATCCGGGGATCGTCAACCCCTACCTAGCAGAACTTCTAGCCGCTCGAGATGGTTTAAACTTGATTCGTCACTTTGGCCTCCTTGAAGCCATACTGGAAGGGGACTCCGAAGTCGTCATTCGCCAGCTTCTCAGAGGGACAGAGTTGGATGTTGTTGGAGACCCGGTGCTCAGAGACTTTCGTCAGATGATCGCTACCCTAGACATAGGCTTAGAGGTTTGCACGGTTCCTAGAACTGCCAATCGGACTGCCCATAGTGTGGCAAGAAAAGCCCTTTCTCTGTATAGTTTAGAGCTTCTTTCATTTGAATTTGTTTCTTGGGTGGGAAGGGACTTATAGGGTAATCTAATTTTCATGTATTCTATTGTCATATCTCGGATTAAAAAAAAGAGTAAAGGACTAATATGAGGTTAAAGAAAGAAGTGGAATCTCAAATGGGTTCTCAAGACGGTGATATGGGTCATCTTCGTAGCCTGGATGGCTCTCATTTACCTCTTTCCGACCCAATCGAGTGATTCCCTCATCCAGAAGGGGAATCGCCTTACCGAGAAATCTCTCTTCGGAATCACATGTTCGACATTGATATTTTCTCTCCATTACACTTAAAATGCCAATTGAAATTCTACATACCGGTAATTAACTGGGTTGCCTTGTCGTGGCTGTGGTGGCAGACAACATCTTGTTGCTTGTGAGCGGGCCGATTATGGCGATTGCAGTTCTAGTGATTGTCCATCTGATTCTGGTTTTTGGGGAAGATGGGATAATCAGTTCTACCCGTGGTACGCTTACTAGTGATATCTGTAATCTGCAGTTTCCTTGATTAATTAATTGTTTAAGAGGTACTTTAACAGCTTGTGAAGGCGATTAATTTAGATACATTCACTGTAATAATTTTATAAACGAGAAAGAGAGGACACGTGCCAACCTGAAAGCACACCTTAATTAGGCTAATTAGGTGCTAATTATTGATAACCTGTTAATAATCTGCAGGAAAAAGAGCACTCAGAAGTACCCAAGAGCGAGAGAGGATCCAGTGACTAGGGGGGGTGCTTAGTCACTTGACTAAGCCCCTCCCAGCCCTTAGATCTGGATATAGCAATCTGATGGTTATAAAGTGGGAAGGGCTATTTAATTAATGACAGGGGTATTTTGGGTATTATGAAAAATTACGAAGTATACAAACCGAACTTACAATTAGTACAAATTATACAAACATACGAACAATACAAACTAGAGCGACAAAACATACAAACAGATTTACAAACATTACAAACATATGAACTATACAAAAAATACAAACTAGACCGACAAACAATACAAACCATATAAAAAGAAAAAACAACCAAGTTGACTTTGGAGGCTCCATCCCTATATAGAGGGGCTCCTTCCCAAAGTCAACCCGGGTGTTTTTAAGACATACAAACATGGTGGACAAAAATGACAAACGAGACCAAAAATTCATACAAACTGGACTTTGGAGGCTTCATCCCTATATAGAGGGCTCCGTCTCAAAGTCAACCCGGTTATTTTTTAGACATACAAACATTACAAACATTGTGGACAAAAATGACAAACTAGACCGACAATCCATACGAACTAGAAAAAACACATGGGTTGTCTTTGGAGACTCCATACCTATATAGAGGGGTTCCATCCAAAAGTCAACCAGGTTGTTTTTTAGACATAAAAAACATTACAAACATGGTTGACAAAAATGATAAACATGGTGCACAAAAATAACAAAGTTTACAAACATTACAAAAAACCCGACAAACATTACAAAATAACAAAGCGTACAAATATTACAAAATAAACCGACAAACAGTACAAAGCATACTAACCGTACAAAATGTCACTGAAACTGACAAACAATACAAACCGAATCTATAAACATTACAAAATAGGCCAGCAAACATCACAAATCCAATACTATCACCAGAAAATTTCCTCCAGTCGTCAGAAAACTCTCTCTCTCTGCCACACCAAAAATAGTGGCCTGGGACTCAAAAAATTATGGCCAGGGACTTTTTTTTGGCCGGCGGATAAAACTTTTTTGGCCGGCAAATCTTGGACGACGATGGCCGGCGGAGCAATAATAATTCCCAGCATCGGCGGTGGGGATTATTCCCAGCAACGGCGGAAGGGTTTACGAGGCGGGGAATTGCTTTTTTTAATTAATTAATAATTGAAAATTAATAAAATCATGAAATTACTATATTGTCTTTCATTAAATTGGATTAATTTAAGCCATTAGATTATAATGAGTTTGAAGGGCTAAGATTCACTTAGTCATGTGACTAAGGGACCCCCCCTCAGTCACCTGATTTTAGAGCTCAGCTGTGGACATTCCCGCTCATCGTCGACGGGCCAATCGGTGTCGTTTCAGCCGCCGAGCTCATTGGCGGCGTGCTCTTCGTCGGCTACATTCTGTGGGCTCTCTACTTCTACACACTTAGAAACCTCACCCTTCTATCCACCTTCAAGCTCACTTCTGTTGAGGATAAGAAATTAATTCATTGTTCTACAAGTCCCTAGTTTTTCTTGTTCAAGTAAAAGAAGGGAACTTGGTTGTCATTAGGGTTTTAACCCTACATCTTTATAAGACTTAGCTACGAACATGTCGTAAGCAAGCCGTCAAGATGTAGTCTTATAATGAAATCGAGGATACCACGTAAAATCGGTGTCTCGTATGTTGTTCCAGTTCCGCATTATCAAATTCTTCAACTTCAGCATAGTTCAGGTACATGTACTGCATCTCCATTTTTTGCTACGTTGTTGGGTGATTATGTTCAGTGACCGGGCTGCGGTTGGGGATGATTGGGTTGTTCTGCTTGCTTGGCTGTTCTGTTCCTACCGATAGCCAGAGGTTCAGTGCTGCTTCGCCTGATCGACATCCCGGTTGAGCACGCTACGAGGTACCATGTGTGGTTGGGACATGCACATATGTCACCATG